GAGGGAGAGAGAGGGAGAGGGAAACGAAGGAAGGGGAAAGAGACAAAATAGACCAGCTCAAGTGTGTGTGTGTGTGTGTGTGTGTGTGTGTGTGTGTTCTCTAGAAAGCACATTCTCCTGTATTATAGATGCAGTGTTACAGTAGCTACATGGTAGCAACATTTGTCCGATGCAATCAACTCAACAAGCAGAAACAACACAACCTGGAAGGCAAAAAAATTCAAACCTGCCAAGTAAATTTCAAGGGTTAGTTTGAATGTTATCACTACTATTTAATTTAAGTGATTCATCAAAAACTACAGACTGAAATGAACTGCTCTAATGTAATTATTTGCACTTGGCTGAAATAAATGGGTCCACCCGTGGCTATGCCTATTCATTCTAAAAACGGTGAAGCCCAGATCACAGAAATGTGTTGCCAAGGCATGAGTCACTTTGCTTTATGTAAAATAATTGGCCCCTGACAGTTTAAAACAGTAGGAGAAAAAAAAGGGGGGGGCGTCGATCTGAAGCAACACATTACTCGCCACTGGAATCCAAGATAGAGTTCCCTCTGCCATGGCCTAGACTGCTGTCACAGCAATATATATGGCTGTTTACTTATTCATGAATGGGTTAAGGCTACTAACTCAATCAATCTGCTTCCAGTTACCAAGGCTGACTTTATTAGATAACATTAATGATGCATTAGTAGTCCATAGGTGTTCAGTTTCTTCCTTGTCAGCAACTACAATTCAAATGAGAACACAATGTATATTGGCTGCAAATGGATCAGAACTTGGGGATAATTGCGGCACTATACAACACTGCGAGCTGATAATTTGTGGTCAGACAATATGCTGTCAAAGAAAAGACAAATCACAGCATGCTTCACAGAGATGATATATGTCTTGTAATATCAGCTGCAGACATTCAGTGATGTGAAATACTAGAAAAGCCATACGTCATCCATATCACAAATTGATTTTTTTTTTCCGTGTGAAAGCAATAAGACTTATTTTACATTGAATCTGTCATATTAAATGAATTTAAAAAGTGCCTTACAGTATTCTGTTCCTTCACATGCTCTGACTTCGGCTTCAGCTGTGAGATCATGACAATACTACACCCATTCATTCAATGAGCTGTGCATTCATCACCGTTTGGTGGCACTTTCACATCACTGTGAAGGCATACATCTTCTAATGGGTGCTGCTGCTGGGAATTGAACCTCTGTGGTCTTACCAGCACTGACGCCAGACTATATCAGTTGAGCTACACTGAACACAGACCCCCCCACACACACACACACATAGCCTGTGTATGTGGGTGCTGCCATCTATATTATCTGTCAGCTGTGTAAAAGTGTACAGGAAGGGATGGGAAGCAGAAATCACCCTGGCTGGCTCCCACTTTTGACTGTCCTGGTGCGATGGGGGGGG